CGTAATCAAAAGCGTATCCAGCCAGAAAACATGAACGGTGCGGGCAGAGTGGGCGGTGAGTGGAAAGTCTTTCTTTTTTTGGTTTGACATTTGGTAAAGAGTTGGCCAAACTTCAAAGCTCGCTGATAAGAAGATTTGTCAAGGAATTTTTTTTTTTCTAACACGCCAGCGATGGGAAGGCAAGGATATGTTTTTAGGACAACAATTTTACAAATAATATTTATGTTTTCCCAACTTAGCGAATAATTCGTATTCATGTATGGGTGTGGGTGTGGGTGTGGGTGTCTGCAAGTTTGAGGTTTTGCACTTTTAACACGCTTGTCCGACGATTGCCTTTCAACTACAATACTTAATACATATGTATGTATGTAGATATGTACATACATATGTATGTATGAAGCAACGCTCTACTACGCAAATTACCTTCATAGAATTTTCCGACGGCTACTTCAGGATTTCCATGTCAGAGTCTCTGTTCCTTTTTACACTGAAAGTTTTTGACACATCAGTAAAGCTGCAGCTTTTGCTTGCACCGACAGGTCGTTTGTCGATTAGCTGCATTGACAAGTCGGCGTCCAACAAGAGGGATAGCGCGTGGAAGCCGGGGTAGGATTTGAATTATTGTTGCTGTTTTTGTTCTGGTCGAGCGCTTCAGGTCTCAAAGGGTTGGTGGGGTTTTCTTTTGCTGCTTCATTGCCATCTTTTATTTATGGCGTATGGACAGGGCAGATAGATTGGCTTTATCCAATATTACACATGTACATACATACATATGTATGTGCGTTGAAGCTAAGAAGGTGAAAGATTACTTTCCTTTCAATGTAATTTTACCACAGTTTAGGATAAACTGAATGAAAACAGTTGTGTATAATGAAGTCAATGTACAAATCTGCAGGTGAACGGAATGGAGTTTTGGAATAAATGTGGAAGTAATTTCAAATAAGGTGCCGAAAACATATGGATCAGTTTTTGCTGTTTTTATTTTTTTTATTTAACGTTTGTAATTTTTTATAAAAGTCTAGCTGATTATATTAAAACAACCCATATAAATCTACATTTCAAACTTTGTGCAAAGCTGTTTGTACAAAATTTCCATATACCAAATTATGCAGATGCACTTCTCAAGTGCCAAATAACAAAACTCGCTATCGTTACTTCGTTCGCCGTACTCCTTCGTACATTATGTTCCAAAGGAGCGATCCCAGCACCGAGACTTCATTCTGTTGCCTTTAACAGTGATGTGTTGAAGCATTCGATCTTCGAAATAATTCGCAATTGGCCTAAGAAAGAATGCAGCAGCTGAGAGAGCCGATATGAACTTTTGCCGATTGGCTGTGTTGAACGCGTTTACGATGGCGGGGATTACCTTTGGGAATATTTTATTGTAAATCCCTTCAAGTATTTGCCTCTGGCTGCTTCAACGGACAGGTTTTTGAACAGGTTTTTGGGTGGCTGCATTTCGAAGATCCATTTTGCGAGCATACTTCCCCACAGGTCACCCGTGATGTGGTCGAGCAAAGAATAGTGTGATATGCATACAATGTAAAAAAAACTTATTAGAACACAATGGACGACGACAACAAAGTTTATTTATTCATTAAAGTTTTGTACTCCGCATCATCGCAGAGGTGGTGATAGCATTCACTTTTACTCCTATGCATCACAAGTTTGAGCTGTTTTGGCTTTTTCGCTAACTCTTAACGAAAGAAGCTTAGTCAAATCTTAATAGAAGTCTTGATTTTTCTGCCAAGATTTGTTTTTGGGGTATTGGAGTGTGTCCGCTGATATAGATAAAGGCGAAGGGGTTACTGGCCATATAAAAAAACACTATGCTGCAATGCAACCGGAACAAGATTCAAATTTTAGTATTTTGTATAGTAATAATTCTTCATGAATCTCCGTTCTCTACGGTAATTCTAAGAGCTCTCGCATTGAGCGTTTATTTCGCTCATAGGAATTACACGTAAGAAAATGAGATATTCTTTGCTGAAGTCACTATAATTTTCCAGCATCAATAAAAACGCTGTCCATCTTTTAATTTCTCAGCGAGGGTCTCAATCCTAGTATCCGTTAAAGAGCCATCAGGCCTATTGAGCAAGCCCTGCTTTGTGATTTGGTCCTTCTTTAGAACATTTACGAGCCTAGAGGCTCTCTTTGTAAAATAAATTAGCCTCTTATACCCGCTTTGCGTGCAGCGATAGCATACTTAGTCCATCTCAAAATTAGTTTTGAGGGGCCGGTTTAGAAGTTTTTTCGACTCACTCATAAACTTATGCAGCTCCTTGTTCCACCAGGGAACAGGCGTACGGATAATAGGTGGACGAGTCGAACAAGCCTCATCCAAACTCCCACGTAGTAAAGCGGTTAAATTAACCACCGCCTCATAAATGGCTTGAGTGGATCGTATCCTAGGTAGCGTCGCGTGGTCTAGTTCCCAACTTGCTACCTAAAACACGGCCAGTTCGTTTTTTTTCAAGTTTTGCATTGGCGAAGAGCAAATAGCGCCCTTGCCAAGTTGAAACCCAATGAACCTGTGGTCCGAGAGCGAATCTTCTCAGGATTTACCACCCTAACAGTGAGGTAGGGTAAGATCATTCACTTCCTGTCTTCTGGGGGTAACATATGTTGGCTTACTGCCCGTATTCAAGATACTCAGCCCACTCCCCTCACGTTTATTTGGTGCTGCCCCAGATTTTACTCTGGGCATTAGCATCGCAACAAAGGATCAACCCGACGTTCCGGTTCTCGCTGTATTCCACAAGACTGGCCGCCTTCCCCGGAGGTGGCGGCAAGAGAGAGTCGTATGCAAAGCACGCGGAGGCAATAATGAAGTGTCCACCCGCGACTCACTGAATCCACAGACTTTTTGTAGGAACACCCAGGGTTCCTGAATAGCTGTCATGTACGGTTTTGCAAAAGTCCAATGCCAAAATAAGATAAACCCTATAGAAATTAGAAAATTTTAGTTGAGAAAAAGAGGTACAAGTAATAGGCGACATACACAGTGCGTGAGTCATTTGTATACGTGTTAACTCCCCTTCGTAACAGTGTAACTAACACATATTTATTTTCACAAACTCATTCAAACCGACTCACGAGTCAGGTTTTAGGTTCAGATAGGATTTCACAAAAATGGCACTTTGTGCAAATTGAAAAATTAAGTCCCATTAGTAGTAAAATAGGGCCAAAAATGGCACGGTTTGTGCCAAATTGGCAGCCCTGTTCACAGAGCCCTGGACCATCTGTACATCCAGAGTAGCACCTTCTCTACCTTCCCGGTTGATACTCTTTTCGTGAGAGATGACGCGCCAGTGCTTGGTTTCAACCCCCGAATTTTGGGCACGGAAACAGGAAAGCTCGTCCGCCGTTTTCAGAGCGGGATCTGGATGCAGCAGGGTATTTTCCCCCTGTGCGCGGTATTATTTTTACTACAGCCTTGAGCCTATTCCAGTTAGCTTGGGAGAGGCATTTCACCACAATGGTTCCATCCCTCTCCTCATACCCAAGGGAATTGGCTGCAGTGCCGGACGCAATAACGGTCCGAATCAGATGGCTGTTGCAGTTTTTAAATTCTGCACCAGTCATATGTCGAGTCGAACCCGCGGTCACTAGAAGTTGGCGTGGCCACCAGACCTCCTGGCGTAGTTGGAAGGCTTTGATGCTTCGCAGTCATAGCGAGGGTAGTCCTGCCTCGACCGACCATTGCATTACTTCTACCCTTGGTTTTAGGTAAAGGTTTCGTGATGCCAAAGGTCTGTCTCACTGATAATGTCTTCTTCTGTCGCTGTCCTTGATATTTCTCCGCCACTATGCCACACCACTATCCGCTACACTATGACGCGAAGAGGCATTGGGGCAGGAATTGATGATTTCTTGCGGCGTTCTCCAAGGTCCCACTGGCTTCCGAAGACCTGGGCGCAGGAGGAGTTCGGTCAGCCACACAAGAGGATTTCCCCTGCTTGCATTTCACTCCGGATTGTTCATCCTTCTCCTCCTTTTATAGGTTTGTAAAAGAGGACCAACTCCATCATTGGAGCGAGCTGCTTCTCGACCCACATCCCCTGCAAGAGATTAGCCCTCTTTCGACACCGACACAAAAGACTTCGCTCTTGTCTCTTAGGTGTTATTTAAATTGTTGCATAAAAATATTTTCGTAACATATTCAACTACATATATACGTTTTATAAACAATTTTAATATAAGTATTTTGCATACTTCCTGCAAATTTTTTGTATATGTTTTGCATATTCAATTTGCATAAAAATCCGATACCAAAAGAAAAAATCAATCGCGCAATTTGCGACCTGTGTTTACCTGTTTAAATACACCGCAGAAAGTAGTTTTCACATACAGTTATTCAGCAACTATAATCCTTTGAAATGAATGAAATTGACAGACAGACAAAAGACGTTTCTACTGTGAAAAGACAAGATGTTCAGATAAATAGCTGCCTACTGGCTGAGTGACTTTTGTATTACGCGCTCAAAGGAGTGTGACAAAACATCAGTCATTATTCAAGTCAAGTCATACAAATTTACCTAAAACTTGCGTCGAAGGTTTCCCGAGTTGTCTCATCTTTATACCTGCTAACACCAGTCACGCTTTTCCATTGTTCTTTGCCGACTTAGCCGCTATAATCCCTTTAATATTACTAACCGCGGATTATGGTCTTGAGTGCATTTGGAATTTTTGAACAACAGAAGTTCATGTGACTTTTCACTCAATTTGTTTTGGACTGATTTATCGATATTAAATATGAAAATATTTGAGTGAACTTGCAATGTTGATCGATATGTAATTCTGCACATAGACTCCTGTATTTATTGAGTGAAATTCGGATCTTCGTTGCCATGAGTGCGCCTTCGAGTGGCTCTGCGTAAGTATAAAAATGCGACATTTTCGAGAATGCATCATCAGTCAGCTCATCACAACTGCAAACTTCACTGAACACCAATACAGATTCTTCCGAAGTCGTCTCAAGCTAATCTACTTCATCTACAATGGCACCCATATTCGAATCGAATTTCTCCATTCGCAATATTATTGGAGATACCAGCGCAAATATTCAAGAAAATGTGCACGGCATGAATAACGCACCGCTGACACCGCCACGCTCCGACGGATCAGCCTCACCAGATAGCAGTGGATCCGAGGACAGCGAGGAGAGACCGGGTTTCACCTTTAGCGCGATGGTGGCCATGGCAATCCGTAGTAGTCCGGAAAAGCGTTTGCCATTGAGTGCAATCCAAGACTGGATTTCGGACCACTTTCCTTACTACCGACGAGACCAACACGGCTGGCAGAGTCAAGTGCGTCACACTCTAAGTACCAACTCATGCTTCGTTAAAGTGCCTCGACCTTTAGATGACCCCGGTCGTGGAAACTATTGGGCCATGAATCCAGCTATTGAAGATGTTAATGTTAACGCTTCAACTGGCCGACTCGTATTCAACTCCAACGTGGCTCATTTAACTGGCAATACATATGGACATCCACTGAACCAAGTTATTACCCATGGCGTTCCCATGAACCATCCGCAAGCGCCCAACGCAGTTTACTTCCCCACTCCCGAGGAACTTGGTAGAGCGCAACAGGCGATGATGATGCAGGCCATGCAGGAGCAACAAATGTGGTTCCTCTATCACCAGCAACAACAACAGCTCATACAGCAGGAACTGATTGAGATGCAGCAACAGAAGTTCCAACACCAATACATCCAACTGCAACAAAAGATGCTGTTCCATCAACAACAATGCGAATTCATGACGGCCAAACAGTTGCCGATGTGAAAAGTCGAGGATGCGGGGCTTAGAGATTAAGATTTTACAAATAAATATGAATGTAGTATGTATGTGTGCATGTTGAGTATAGATCCTATATGTATGTACGTGTTTTAAAAGGATATTTGTTTAGTACTAAGTGGCATAAGTAAGAAATACACTATTAAAAAATAATAGCACAGTTTTACAAAGCAATTAAGGTTTGGCTACAATTCTTAGTGATGGGTGGCAACGCGATATGGAATAGATTTCTGATAAAAAGCATCTGACCTGGGGAGGAGTCGTAAAACTGTGGACCAGTGCTGCCGCTGTCACTTCAATTCAAGTTTTTCACTTCACTTTGGAAGCCTTCACTTCGTCACTTCATTTTACTTCGTTTTACTTCACTTTCCACAATTTAGATTTATCTCCAAAATAAATAAAAATGTCTTTGAAAAATATGATTTATTTAACCAAAATCAACAATCTTTTGCTAAAATTCTTCTAAGTAGTAAGTATGGCAGAGTAACTTTTCGCAAAAAGCTACTAAAAAGACGCCTAATAAATCGGGCTTTTGGCAGGGGCCCGGCGGGCAAATTAATAAAGTTTCAAAGCACTGTAAAAGATATTGTCACGTGCAGGCAAGGCCGTATTTATGATCCATAATATTATCCAAATTGGTACGTAACGACTTGGCGATAAGCCCATAAAATAAAGTTGCCAGACGTCCTGTTTTTTCAGGATTTGTCAAACTATCCTGGTGTCCTGGTTTTTTAATGAAGGTCAATCCATACAACCAAATCATATTTGGCAGATTTTCGCAATGAAAAATGGTCAAGCTTTCTGTTATTAGTAATCTACATTTAGGTAGTTTTTATGATGTAATTAAAGCGAAAACCAAGCTTTAGATAAAGTTTTTAGATTATAGAGGAGCTGAAATCTTATTTATTTATAAAAAAAAACACCAGAAAAAAGAAAGTTCTAGAGTTGCGTTTTGCAAATAAAGACAAAATTCGATTTTATCCGAATTTTAGCATCACAAAGTTCGTTTACAAAAATCCGCCATTTTGGAACTTTCGAAAATTCGATAAAACTATCGACCAAGATCAAAGGGTATGCTCCAAGCTAAATGCCGTTTTGTTCCCACGAACGCTTAAAACCCCAAACCGAAATGAGAACAAAACCTTCGGGAGTGCTTTCACAAGAATGAAAGTGAGAACAAAACTGTCGAGAACGTCGAGAACAAAAGACTTAAGATACGAACCTTTCTTGCACAGAAACTTAAAAATTGTTCCATAAATGGGCTGTTTACCCTAATGATCAATGAATTGGAAATTGAAATGAACCAGCTTTCCTCTGGCTTAAAATTAACAATTATGGTTCTCACCGAAATGATTTTTCAACCCACCACGCAGACGTCCCTCTCATTCTTGATGTTAAGTTCCTTCAAGTTCAAGACCTTCACCCCTATTGCGAGTGTCGACTAGTAGTAGATAAATGACTATTATTTGATTATCGAATTTCCACGGTATTGTGAATGTCGATTTCTTGTACAATAAGCGACTGTTTTTGACTCATCTTTCTACAAACAAACAGTTCTTCCAAATTAGCAAGGATAATTGATAATCAACTAGTAGTCGTTTATCTGCTAAAAGTCGACACTCGCAATAGCGGTGTTTTGTTCTCATTTTGACTTCTAGCAGAACGTTCCCCAGACTTTTGTTCTTATTTGATACTCCTTGAAAATGTTCTCGATACTTTCATTTTCTTCGGAAACGTTGCCGAAAGCTTCGTTCTCATTCTGTTCTTCTTGAGAACGTCCATGAGAGTTTTCCTTAAATAAAAATTAGGTTATGTTTGAAACTGTAAATATCTAAAACTAAAGTTGATCGTTTTTATTACTTCGCTTTTATTAGCCCGGGATGTAACTATGTAATATTGATGCGCCTAAAAGATGCAGCGATTAAAGTAACCTGATGACAGTACGAATGGAAATTTTAATAGCGAGGTTTTAGTTTGTTAAACTATAATTTTAATTTCCTTTCACACAAGCAAATATTTCAAACGAATTTCATTATTTACTTAAATTTGGCTAATACCAAAGACGCGCAAAGTATGGGGGAAATTTGCCAAACATGTTCGTACACTTCGCATCATGATTATTCCGCATTCCTTTACAAGCTTTTCGCGAGTCGGCCGCTATAATCCTTTAACATTAAGGGCCGCGATGGTTATGGTTTTGCAAATAATAGAAATGTAAGTTTTCTATTGTTTAAGTATTGCGTCGACTGTTCTAAAATAGTGTGAATTTAGACCGCAAGCTCTTACCTGTTTTAAAAGTCAACGAAATTCTTTGAGTGGCTTTGTTTGCAGGTATGTGGAGGTATGTATGTACATATCGCACACGATCTTCAAAATTGACTCAAATCAAAATTTGGCATTTTTGAAATGCCGTAATGACCAAAAATTACAATAAATATATTATAAGTTAATATAGCTTTTATTTAGAAAAGAGTAAAGCAAAATAAGTTCAAAGTTTTTTTAGATAACGAGTAAAGCAAATAAAAATCATTGAAATATTCACGTTTGGTCCTAGTTTACCTTTTAATAATTTATTGCATTTGCTCGGTTTTTTTTCGGGTTTGAGGTGAGGTCCATGGTTCAATTTCTGGAACCAGCAACATCATAACAAGTTTTTTTCAAATAGCGGTCGCCCTTGTCAGACAATGGAAAACCGCCGAGTGAACTTCTGCCATAAAAAAGATTCCTCGAAGGTGGCGTAAAAGTGCAAAGATCTCCATTTGTGCCACAACATAAGGAAGCCGAATACGAATCGGAGGACAACGTTTAGACCCCCAACAATAATATATTAGATTCAAATATGACATACTGTTCATCTCCAAATAACCTAGGATATAATTTTAATATAAAACTATTTAAGGGTTTCCCTTAAACTGGAGAAGCGCTGAAAACTTAGAGAAACTCAAAACTTTCATTAAGAGGTCAAGATTTGTATGAAGTGAAAAAAATCGGGTGGTTCGATAAAAGAATCGGCGGAAATCCGTTAGGAAAAACCGAGTCAATCACCCTACAAATTACATATCCTTTGCGGAGTACTATAGTCTAAATATGCTTTAAGCAATAGAAGTTCGACTATTTATTTATTTGGCCTACAGAATAAAAAAAGCCAAACTAATGATGATTTCGTTTTCGTGTTCGATTCTAAATTAAAGGCAAAGGGTGAGAAAATTTTGTGTTCGTTTTTTTAAAATGTCACAATCTTGTAAGGCAAAAAAAAAACGAATTCTCTGCCGTTTGAAACTTTGTCAGGGGAGATGGTTGGTTAAAACGACAATACTATGAAATGCGGGAGCTAGACAACACGGCAAGAAGGCAAAAGCATGCCCTTTCACAGGGTTGAGTGTAACATCAAACACATTTTGCACCGGAGAAGGGCAACATTTTTTGGGAGAAACGAAATCACCATAAGAAATGTATGTGTAAATATTTTAGCGGCTTCTTAAATGCTTTTGTTGTTATCATTTCGTTTTCTGTTTACAGTATGTTTGACTAAGCGACGCACCACCACAACACTCTTCACCAGATATACATAAATACAAATGCATAATTGTTCACTATGTATGTATAGCGGGTTTCCTTAAACGACAAGAGACTTTCTATACCTTTCTATCGTTACGTTAAAATTTCCCAAAATGTTGCCTAAATTTTGTACCTGTTTACTTCGGTCACCCTTTGGCATTTGTTCCTTTGGCGGCTCAGCCTCTATAATCCCCTTAATATAAACAAACTGCGTATTATGGATTCAAGAACAATAGCAGGTTGAAGACAATGGAACCTTTCAGTGACTTTAACCGGCTTGAGTGACTTTTTAATTGCTGAAGATGCAAGTATGTTTTCCGGAATATGATGTGTCGTGACATATTTTTACCTGCTTTAATAGCCACTTTCTATGCTTCAGTTTAGCTCAAATTTTCACAAGGATTTGGGCGAAAACTCAATTATACTGAATGGCATATTGTGCAAAACCGGGTGGTTTGATTATTAAACTTTTCAATAAGAAAATTAAATTGTGTACATACATACTTAGCTATATATCGCTTCGCCTGATACAAATGCCGGTAGATCAGGCTCATTGGATGGGAACTAAAGACTTGAAAGCTGTGCTCGGGTTACACAGTAGCCAGAAAAAAGATGCCGTTGAGTCCGAGACTGGATCTCGCAACACTTTCCTTCATCTCATTTTAGTAGTTGGTGTTTCCGACAGGGTACGAGTATGTCGTATTGTGGAACGATTTTCCGTCAACCCATGTCAAATATGTTTTGGAGACAAACCGTTTTCGGTGCTGTGCCATATTCAGTGTCGTTTCTCGTTGTGGTTGAACGTTTTGAGCGGGGAACGATCTATTGCAGTGTAAGCTCAGATACTTCCTTACGGTAATAATTCTGTACGTATGATCATATGTATCATAGTAACTATTAGTATATTTTAAAATATTACATACATATTCACGTACATCAGTTTGTTTGAATGCACATCCAAGATCTGGCATTTGATGACTTCATACTTGCGGAAAGTTAGTGGCTTTTTTATTGGCAAGAGATTGTATTCCATCGCATAACCTTCGACTTTCGACTTATTCTTTTCGATATTATGGTACTTTTATTTCTTAGTCGATTTTGCGATGAGCTTTTTGTCGCTAAAGACGCTAGCATCTATAGCTTGCGGCGTAAGTCCGAACAAATCGGAAAGCCGTCAGCCAACACTAGTAAAACATCAAGTAAGCTACATACCCGTACAAAAACACAAACATCACAGCAGATGAACTGGTTTAGTTTCGAAACAAATTGAATTAATGATGGCTTGTCTAATGCCCAATGCCTAACGTCTAATCACGGCAGACGTTCGGTGGCAACCTCCATCAGTTGCACCGCCACAACAGATAAACCTATAATTAGATCGCATTAGTTGGTACCGGCAGTTTTGGGCTCAACCCCACGTCCTCTTCGCG